GGCTGAAGGAAGGAGGGAATGAGTGCTGGGGCTCAGCCAGCTCTGCCTCTATCGGGTTTGGGTAACTTGGATGCCTTCTTCCTGTTTCAGTACCAGAACCCTCTCTCCCCTGCCCAGCCCAGTTTAGACACTTGGGGTTTCAGGAGACTCAATAAAAAGGAAGTGGAAATGGGCTGAGAGGAAGGTGGGATATACAGAGGGAACCTGAGTGAGTGCTGCTCAGAGGATGTGCCCAGGAGTTAGGGGTTCTCACCCACTCAGGTTCTGTGCACAAGTCTGGGCTAGTACTGCACCCCCAAACCCATTAGACTTCCATGGAGCCCTGCAGCCCCCATTGGTCCCCACAATCTCCCTCTGCTGCCTTCAGACCGAGCCAGGTCATACCCACCATCTCCCACTCTAGCGTCCCTTCCCCATGAATCACCTCCTCATCCTCACCCTCTGCCTCCCTCCCAGCCCTGTCTGTCCCCCTAGAGATTGGCCATGGGGAGGGGGACCTGCCCAGGGCCCCAGGCTGCTCTGACTCCTCCCATGTCCCCCTGAGAAAAGCCATGATGTCACCAGCACTTGTGTCACCTGGGGAAGTCACTGGAGGGATGAGAACTCAATCCCCTGGAGGGGGTAGAGCGGTGGTCTCTTGAGGAAGGGATGGTGCAAATGGTCTAGATTTGCCTGTGGTGGTGGTTGCACAACTCTGCAAGTTTGTTAAGAATCATTGACATACACACTTAAAACAAGGGAGGTGTGGGGTGTGAGGTGTGGCAATTTCCTCATGATGGAGCCTGAGGTCCTGCTCTGCTTCCTCCCAGGGTTCCTGCCCAAGCCCTCCCTCAGGGCCGAGCCTGGCCCTCTGCTCCCCCGGGGACAGCCTGTGACCTTCCTGTGCAGTTCCCTAGTGTGGGCTCAGTCATTTCACCTGGAGAAGGATGGAAGACCTGTACTCCCTGATCAGATAAGTGAGCCTCAAGAAGGTTCGCAGAGGACAGAGGCCAGATTCCACATTTCCGCGGTGAGTGAAGACACTGCCGGGAATTATACC